AGGTACATTAATGGCGAACCCACAATTAATATGGATAGCCCCAGCTACTCTATCCAATATTGCTTGCGTACTTAGAACTGCTGCATGGGAATGGCCACACGCAATAGACGCATTTGGCGATGTTTAACAGGGGAAGGGGCAGCACGGTCAGTCTATAATAATTCAATAACGGTATGTATAATTCAACTGTGTCTGGTAGTGGCTTTGGCTGTGGCTATGGCTGACGGTAATTGATTGTTTATTCAGCTAAATTCTGCCCAGGCAGGGGTTTCTCCAATAGCCTTTGAATAATAAATTGCGGACTGGTATTAATACATGAGCTGATCATGTGGCGAACAAACCTTTGACTGTTCGACTGTCCAAAACAAACAATGAAACACCGCGTGGGCGCCTATAAAAATCAAAATCAAAATAAAGAAGAAAAAATAGTCAGGCATCAGGTCGCATCATAAAGTTGGCATATTTATGCGACTAATTTGAAATAAAACATAAAAAAATAAAACTCACCAAATAATATTAAGAGTCTCAATTCGGGACGCCACGAAAGTGAGATGCATATCAACAATTAGAAGCCAGACCAGGCGCCCCATCGGCAGAAGAGATTCGAGAAATTTGACGCTTTTACGAGCGCTCCACACTCCGCAGACAGGCAGCATAATGTCGCTCTTTGATATACCAAATTAAAGCAATGGACAGTGGACATTTGAGTGCTGGAATCTGGTGATACGAGTACTTTGCATATGAATGAGATGGCGCGTCGTCATGTCAGCTGGCGCCGCAGAGAGCGAGCCAGTTTATCGGCAACAATATAATTGAGGCAATTAGAAAACATCAAAATATTGGGCCTGGCCAAAGAAAATTGTTAAATAAATAAATGCTAACAAATTTTGATCTTAATTAAGCACTTGAGCGCTTAGCTGAATGTTTATGTAAAGTCTGGCCGGACAACAGCAAACACACACACACACACACATATAGAAAAAACCAATACATTTGAGCTCACTCTCAAGCAAGGGCATAATGCAATTAAAGCCAACTCTCAAGCGCTAAGCAATGACAAAGCGATTTTGAATTTAGAGCTCTGAGTTTTGAGTTTCTGTCCAAAGGGAGCTGGAACGAACGCCCACATTATAATCATTCAATTAAAACGCTTAGGAATTATTATTATGACAAACAAATGTCGAGAGGTTCAAAATTGATGCCAATCTTTCTGGCTAACCGCAGGAAGTCGCCAACGGCCAAAAAAAAGAGGCAAAAGGCAGCTCGAAATTACAAGCAATTGAAAGAATGCGATCCATATCGCTGGCCAACTGGCGGAAGTGAATTGAAAAGTTGACTGACGTGGCGTTCCTCAGTGAAAGAATGGCCGTTGCTGTTTGGTGCCAGCAAGTTCGTTGCCTAAGTCTTTCGTTTAGACAAATGCTTCAACATGGACTTTAAATTAATTACTTAATTTAACACAACACATGGTCCAGCGACACCTTCGATGACATCCCAAACGTTGACAACAACAACAACAACAACAACAACAACACCAACAACACTCTTTCAGTCCACAACAGCACAAAGCACTAACATTGACAACTCTGCCAGCAGGCGAAACCTGTTGGAGATCGAAGCGATGCGAGCAACAGTCCTGCCCGTGGACTGGGCCGAAGCAGATGGGGGCATAACAGATTAGTTAGCATATCCCATATCAGGGTAATTATTGTTAAATGAGATAACGATCTTGTACTGCGTTGACATTTATTTATTTTCCTTAATTTCGCTGTATTAATCTTCTTGGAAACACACATTAAACACAACACTAACAATATGCAGCACAGCGAAAAGCACAGCAGAAATCGGACAGAAAACGAAGATGAAAAACAAAAAAATCCACACACACACACACACACACACATTCGCAGAGCCAGTTCGCTGTGGCACGTCCCGATCCGTTGTATGTGTTCGTAATGATCATTAGCGGACCATGAAAATCAACAGCATCAATTTGACTTTATTGGCATTGCAATGGAACGAGCATTCGAAGCGCTTGGAGAAACGTCTTTTGACAATTTGCATCAGGCAGGCAATCGATCAATGAGCCACGAGAGTTGGCTAATTAATATATTATCGTTACTATCAGCAAGCTCATCGAAATCAAAATACTTGGCAATTAAACGAACATATGAACAACAGCAAACACGATACTGAGGGACCTGTAACAAAACTCAATTAAAATCAAACAACAACAGCAACAACTTTGGGCAGTTGCCACAGCAATCGATAGAGAGAGAAACACAAATCCCTCAACAACCAAAAAAGACGCAGCTAATTTAACCAAATTGGATTACTTAATAAGTTTATTGGATAAATAACTTGGCCGCAGCAGCAACAACAATAACGAAACCCACGAAAGCATAAAGTGAATGTTTTGTTGTTGTTGTCGTGGTTGTTGCCGGTTATTGGGGCGCGCCACAAGCGCTCAAACCTTTTGTGGCAGCACTCAAAATAAGCCACGGGGCAAAGCAAGTTGTATATAAAAATTGTTGAGCTAATTTCTGAGAATTACCAAAACAGAAAAATAAAGATTCTCCCTCTCTCTCTCTCTCTCTCTCTCGCTTACTCACTCTCTCTATTGTGCCTGCTCTAATGTGTTTTTGTTCTACAGAAACATTTGAAATGATATCGTAAAGCAAACGGAGCTGTAGATAAGCCCCAAATCAAGTGGGCGTCGTAATTTATTATTAATTATAATCAACTTTTTGATAGACAAACAGTCAGCGCAGCAAAGTACCAAGCAGCACCTATCTGGGGATCAAATGTGCGTGTTACTATACAAACAGCACGCCTCGGTCAATGTATTTACCCAGAGCCAAGCACTTCATTTGCTGTGTGCTTTATGCGTAACTGCGATTTATATCAGAGTCTCTCTCTTTGTCTCGGTCTCTGTATTAGTATCTGTGCGTGCTCTATAATTTACTCTAAGGGTTTGATTTGTTGAGCTTTTGAAACTGATTTATGCATGAGCTTATTTACATTGTTTGCTTTACTGGCTTTAGTTGTGCAACCAAATCATACCCCAGACGCCTTTTGACAGGCGGCCACAATTTAGTGCTGTTAACAGCTAGTAATTAGCAATTAGACTCGATTTGCTTATTAATTAGCCATATCAATGACTTGGCCAGCGGATCTGCAACACGGGCTTGCAATTCGCATTGCATATTCATGGGATTCGCTTAGAGTTTCTCGGTTATCGATCTGTCGCATAAATTGTACGGCAATAAACATAAATTTTGATTTAGAAACCATTAGCACACCTCAAGTCAAAAATGCCGCGTTGTCATTTCCAGCCAACCCGTTTTAGATGTATGTGTGTGTGTAAGCTACACCTCCACCACACCCACCTGCACAACGCCCCATCGTACTCGACTTTTTGATCTCAGTTGCGCTCAATTAAATTCTACAATAAAACACGATTTGCATTTCAAATTGTGCAATTAAAATGCTTATGAAATCTATAAAAAATCGCTAAATGCATTTTATGAACACCTCCAACGGCTCAGCACAGCCCAGTGCAAAAATAACAACAACAACAGCAGCAAAGTAATGCTTAATGTCGCACGTTAATTAATTACTAGCGCATAATTAAATGTTAGCTGTGTGTGCAATGAATGCGTCCACGGTCTATGACTGATGCTGCTATACCTGAGTAGAGCTATAGACTTTATATATGACCTCTTCGTGTTTTTGTTGCTGGCGTTTCGACATGCGACCTGATGGCCGTCGCCTTTCTAAGTAAAAGCTGTTTTTTATCCGCTACGCGAAAGTTTAAGGAAACTTTTTCTTAATTTTGTTAAGTGCCAATTTCGTCTTTGAGCCCCTCACTTTTACCATGAACTGCTTAGGATCGGAGTTATATTGTTGCAGATTATGTAAATACGTGTGTTTTGTCAAGAAAAACAAGTTGATTGAAAACAATATGATTGAATTGTTTAATCCGTGGGATTGGCCATTGAGTGTTAGCTTACCATAAGTCGACTCTCTAAGCCACAGATAAACAATGCTTAAATGGGTATATAATACATAATATGTAAAAAATCGAATAATTTATAATATTTACAAAGAAATTGATTCATTGTCGAAAAGTATTCGAAGATATGTAATTTCCCAATCAGTTCGTAGTTGTCAGCTTTTGACTCCGCTGCCCCAATTAAAAATCATTTGATTTTTTATATTTTTGTTCTTGCATAAGAATATTTTATATTTTGTATATTTATATTTTTTATAATCATTTTTTGTATTTTTTTTTTTTTTGATTTTCTTAATAATTACAACTAAAGTAACTAAAAGTTGAAGCTATTATGAGCAGAAAGCTGCTGGAAAATGAATGCCCGATTTGTTCTCTTAGTGTTAAATATAAATACAATTATTAACATAAGTCTAGTGATAAATAAATGCTAAATAGATTTACAGCAATTACAAAATACTAGTGAAAATGTGCAAGAAATTCGCTAATTAAAATTAATTTTGTATCGCACGCATTTTTTTCATTATCATATTTACACGCTTAAACAATTAATTTAATTTGTACAATTGTTTCTCTCTCTTTATCTCTCTCTCTCTCTTTAACTCTTTCAAAATGATTTCTTTAGAGGTTTTTCGCTACTTTTGCTTTGTCTTTCTTTGAGCTCAACTCAACTCGTTGCGAAGGTCGCCCTCCGCCGTTTATTTTGGCACTGTTTGGGGGCGTGGCTAGGGGCCGATCTTCGCGACGTTCCTAATACTTTTGCAGGGAGTGTTATAGACGAGAGTCTGGTTTTTAAGCAGCTTTTCTATATACACTAAGCCTAGCGCTTTTCATTTTAAGAATATATCACAAATAATTAAATTTAAGATTTCATATACACTCACACACACACACACACACTCACTCATACTCACACACACACGCACAACGCTCAGCAGTGCAGGCGGCGTTTCTTTAGTAAGGAACTCACGGATAGACAAGATGGAGGAGTGGCCACTTAATGACTCGCATCCAGATCATGCTCATCATCGCTGGCGCAATCGTCCATTTCCATGTCGATGAGCTCGTCATCATCTTCGTCGCCGCTGCCGTTGTGCATGTTGCGTTCGGAGCCGGAGCCACCGCCCTTCTCGTCCTCCTGCTGCATGCGTTTGTGTTTGGTGCGACGATTCTGGAACCAGACCTTAACCTGTGTCTCAGACAGATTGAGTGACTGAGCAAGTGCCTTGCGCTCTGCTCCAACCACATACTGATTGCTCTCAAAGGCGTGCTCCAGTTTTAGCAGCTGCGACGGCGAGAAGGCAGTGCGAATGCGCTTTGGCTTACGGAAAGGTTGCAGAAGGAAGTCTGGAAGGAGCAAAGGGAAAAACAAGTTGGTTAGTCAAAGCACGCAAGGCACAGCTTAGGTTTTGATACTTACTTCCAGGAAAACGATGTGGAAAGATGCGGCCGTGGCGACTGAGCAGCCATGGGTAGAGTGGATAGCTTTCTCGTGGCATGCCCGGATTGCCCATGAAGGAGGCGGCGGCGTGTGGGGGTAGACCGGCCGCTGCTGCGGCAGCTGCTGCAGGACCCAGCACATGGCCGGCTTGCAAAGCTGCGGCCATTTGGAATTGGGCGGCGGCAATCAGATGCGGATTGTGCTGAGGCGCCAGCTCCGGCGGCGTGTTGATGTACGGCGGCAGTGCCTTGATGTCGGGCATACCCGGCTGACCTTGCGGCGGCGGTGGACCGCCTGGGCCCATCGGGAATGGACGCACTAGGCCCGCTGGCGGCATGCCCGGCAGCATGAGCGGATTGTGGCCGGGGCCAGCTGAGCCAGGGCCGGCGGAGGAATGCATTACAGGTGTCTTGGGGTAGTTGGGTGGCTGTTGCTGCGGCTGCTGAGGTGGCGTATTGTGCGGACTGCTGACCAGCAGTGTGGGCGATGAGGAGGGCTGCGACGATTGCGGCGATACCGATTTGGGCGGCGTATGTGGCGGCTGAATGCGCTGCGCTGGGTTCTCTAGTTGATCCGAGCCAGGCGGGGCAGGCGAACGCTCTCGCTTCACAGAAACACCAACGGGTGTTGAATTGATATCGCCCAGCGGCGAGAGGCGTGTCTGGAGTGGACTGAGGCTGTTGGCGACGGCGGCGTTGTGATGCAAGCGCTGAAGCAGCTCCTGTATATCATGATGTGACTTTGGTGTGCCCTGCTGTTGCTGGTGGAGCAGTAGATGCTGATGCAGTGCGTGCTGTTGGGCTGGCGAGAGATGAGGATGAGGGTGCGGATGCGCATGTGGATGCGGTGCCATGTGAGGCGGCAGCACGTGGCCGACATGATGTGTTGGTGGCGCCATCAAATGATGAGGCGGTGTAGGCGTGGCAGATAGCATTGTGAGTGCAGCAGGCGGCGTTTGGGGCGGCGATCCGGGTCCATTCCGATCTGGCTGCGGGCTGCTAGGCTGCTGTTCCGGATTGCCTCCAGCGGCAGTCACCGTCGCATCGTTGCCAACAATCGAATCGATGCTGAAGCCAATCTTCTGCTTGGGTGTGGGCAACATGACGGCAGAGGTGGGTACCGGCGGAATCATTTTAGTCATAAATACGCGCGTTGATTGTGCGGGCGAGGCGGCGATTAGTTCGGCTATTTTGGCGGCTTTTGTCTATCAAACTGTCTCTCAGTTAATCCTTGCGTAAGCAGTTGCCTTTGTATTTTACACTTGGTGCACCATTTGTGCGCTTCACTACACTAAACAGTTGCCGTTAGCTTAGAAACCCTTTGATAGTTGCGGGCGACGGGCACGTAAACAACTTTCTAGCGGGGGGACAAAGAGTCAACAAATTTTATGTTTGAGTTTTGCGATCGACGCGCTCGTAACGTGTTCACTCGACGACGTTCACAGTCTGAATAATCAAGAGAAGCGCTGCAGCAACACCAAGTGTACGCAGTGGGAATTATACACACGACACACGACATTACGACCGAGCGCTCTCTCTCTCTCTCTCTCTCTCTCTCTTTGACTCACGCGTTCCCTCTCTCGCTGGCTTGCTGGCTGACTGGCTTCATCTGTCCGTCTCTCGCTTTCCATAAAACACGTCAAACCGGTCTGCGCCCGCGCGTCACGACTGCTCCTGCTGCTTGTGTTATTGCTGTTGCTCGCGCAATGTGCCAGAGCGAGAGCGCATGAGCAGATCAGTGAGGCGCACAGACCAATGAGCGCTGTTTGTGTGCTTGCCATTGCACTCTCGCCTTCTTGTGGATTTTATCTGGCCACGCCATGCTGTCTCATTATCTGAACGGTTCAGCTGCACACAGAGAGGCGTACACAATTTAATTCGCTACGATGTATTTGTGTTCGTATTTGTATTGGTGTTTGTGTATTTGTGTAATTGTGTATTTCTGCATATGGCTTCCGTTGATTTCTTCAGCCGGTGGTAGTTGTGGTAGTTGTTTTGTTGTTCTTCTTCTTTTTGTTGGCATTGTGGCTGTCGCTGTGTAATTTGGCTTACACTGTCATTCATAGTTTTTGTGGTTACTTTTCCATTTGATTCTTATTTTATATGACAAAAAAGATAAAAATTGTTCAATGTTTCAAATCGTCTGTTTACTTCACTAAGCTAATAGTTTACCCAATCGATGTTTTATATATATTTATCAAAATGCTAGATAAAAATAAAATAATATTTAAGAAGCGATTAGAATATTTCAAAATATATGTACATAAATAATATTTATGATAGTTCTAATTACATTATATGTGTAGACCTTTAGATATGTATATATATAATATAAATATAAATATATATATATATAATAAATATATATATAAAATTATATTTCATCTTCTAAATTTCTAATTTAGGTTTTTGATTTGCATGCTGCTCTGCTAACTGTGGAAGTACACTTCGCATGCTGATTTGTCTATGAACTTTGTTCGTAGTATAGTGAACAACTCTGCTGGCGACATGCATAGGTTGTCGTGGATGAGGAGTGAATAGAATCGATTCAATTATAAATTCCGCACCACAAATGCACTTCAAAAAGTCGCTCTGATACCAATAAATCAAACCAGCAGCACATTTTCTGCGACAGTTTTATTTAGAGGGCATTACGCATACGATTCAAATGTTAATTTTTATGAATATATTTAGCTTGTGTAGTTTGTTTTTTGCTTTGGCACAAGACAAACTTTGCATTACTTATGTGTGTGCCCGCAATTCAAATCGTGCTGAAATCAGAGCACAAATTGTTGGGGCATATGCCTATTTTAAGACCAAGACGCAAATATCAATTAGTAATCAGTAAATAATTCCAACAAATAGTTTTCACACTTTTTGCTTTACTCAAAAATAAGTCGAGACGTTTGTTCGGTGAGGTTATCTACTCGGGAGCAGTGCACACAATTTATGACTTTCGAAATACACGAAATTTGAATTTCGGTTTATTTCAAAATTAGATTAAAATCTATTTTATAGCTAGCTAATTAAGTCAAATGCCTACTAGAGTCCATTGTATTCTCTATACGAACAGCGTTATTAAAGCATAATTATGCTGATTAATGAGCATTATTTACAAGGTATAAACATAGAATCCAAAGTTCAGAGATCAAAATTTAATTGGCAAAACGTGTGAACAAACTACGATAGTGGAAAAATCAAATAAAATATATTCTCAAATTTGTAATTTACAATTAACATTAAGTGGTTAGATTCACACGCCCACTGCGGGATACTAAGGACGAGAGAAAGATGAAAAAAGTCAAATAGCAACAGAGCAAGGACGAGTGCTTGTGTCTCACCGCAGGAACTGCGCAACAATTGTCCTGTTAATGAGCAAATAAAGATATCTGCTTGACCAGCAACAACAGCAGCACCAGCAGCAGCAGCAGCACCCAGCAGCTTCATCTAAATAGATGTTCGCCTAACCAGCTGCCTGCCCCGAGCTCTAGCACCCGCTGAGCAAACAATTGTGCTCAAGTACTCGCAGTACTCGATCTTAAAACACCCTGCAAATAGAGCAAAGCGCATAGCCCAACTCAATTATTAGTTTGTCTTTAGAGTTCGACAAAAAGAAATACTAAAGTCAAGCCCAAAGTTGATTTGACTACGTATTGTAATTAAAGGTATATGAAACTGTTGCAAATAATAGAAAGCAGAGGTATGCAAGCAGAATACCCTTCGTTTACAGGGTATCTGCTCATGCACAAAGTTTGCAAAGGCGAAGCGCCTGTGACTGCAGATTAAAACCATAAAAAATGCAAGACAAGGGCAAACAACAAGGGCTCAAACACAAAAAACGTATTTATTAAATGGAAATAAAACGAAGGCAATCCCGGGAGACAGAGAGACAGGGAGACAGAGAGAGAGCACAATGCGCAGCCCAGCAGAGAGGTGTCAAAATCAACAATTTTCGAGCTGCAAACAATTCCACAGAAAACAAGGCGCACAGCGTGATGCAATTTAGCTCCTCTCACTCTCTCTCTCTGTGTCTCTGCCTCTGCCTCTTCTAGCTCCCTATTTTGGGTTTGTAACAACTTTTCGACTGAAATGATGGAATATATATGTTGAGGCCTAGGTATGTACTATTTAGATATAAAAACAACAGTTTCACTTTTGCCTGAGATGAAAGACAATGAAAAACGTGGCAAATTTCCCTTTGTTTAATTTAGTGGCAAGAAATTGTTGAGAAACAAAAATTGACTTTAATGATGATGAGTTGGCGATTAGAAGAACACTTCGAGTGCACCTCAGGAGTGCCACTAAATTCATTTGAATTGAGTTTGTAATTTTCGATGTTTTCTATTTTCTATTTTCTGTTGATACTTTGTATTTTTACGCTGAAAATGGCACAATTATATAGAAATCTCAGTATAAGACTTGTGCGTGTGTGTGCTGGCATTTAAATGTAATTAATTTACAGTGCTTAGATTGGAGCTGAAGGCAACGCATGCGGCAGGTACATGCATATCTAAATCCATATGTAGATTCCTGGAATTTCAGTTCAGATCTATCAATTTCACAGTTCTCATAATAAGTTCGTTTTCCCAATGATCCGCTCATAATTTGAACGCTTGTAAATCCACGCGGCTCACAAAATTATGATGGATGATATTGTGGCTGCATTTTCACGCTTGAGCTCCGTGTCAGGGACAGGGCCAGGGGAAGGGGCAGGGGCAGGCCAGCAACTGGAGTGCGGGCGGGGCAAAAGAGTAGCCGAGAAAAACTCGAAACTGACAGCGCTTCCAATTCAAATGATGATAAGCATGAGAGAGTATCAGATCGAGCGCTACTAAGGCGGGGGCGCGCGCTTGGAATGGGCTCATCAAGCAACTGGACAAACGTTCTGAGCCCTGTCGAGTTCCCAGAAAAACCCATTACAAGGTAAATGCCAACGCCAAGGGGCAAGGATCAGCATATGCGTTTGATATTTCGTGCACGCCACGTAGAACGAGGCCAATCAAGAACAGAACAAACGCAATCAAAAAAAAAAGCAACGAGCACAATAACTACAAAGGCCATAAAATCATATTAAAACACAATTTTTGGTCAACAACTGAGCGTCGAGGGGCCAAGCGACATAAAACATTTATATCTAATCCTTGACAATAATAAAAATCACAAAAACGACATGACAACGATAACGACAATGGAAAATGGGAAATGCTACGAGCTGTCAGCAGCGGCAAACATTGCTTTAAATTGTCAGAAAAGTGCTCAGAGAAAAAGCAACCAACAACCATAGCCAACAAAAAGATGTTAAGAATACAGTAGTCAGAGAAATGTCATAAAAACGTCTAGCAGTGGCTCCCACTTTTCACTTTTCCCTTGCCCCGTCACCCCTTGCCTTTCTTTCCTTTCTCTTTCAGTACGTGTGCAAAACATGCTACACTATTCAAGAGCCAGGCATTTTTTATGACACTTTCCGCAACGGGCGAGGACCATCCGCTCCTGGCCCTAAAGCAAACCCTACTGCCATCCTTTCGGCCAGCCGTTTAACAGTCACACGAACAATAGTCGCATACAAAGAGGAAAATCTTAGTTGCTGAAAATAAAATCAACGTAATTTTTATAGTTTTTCACCGCTATTTTTTAGTAGCCATTCGTACTCGTTACGAGCAGTTTTCTCTGCTCTGCTTACTCCCCTTTTTTGACACATTTCAACGTTATTTTTCGGCTGGCAGGCACTTTGTTCGTGTGTCATTATCGTTTGCCTGCATCCGTTTAGATGCGACTTTATCTTCAAATCAAAATTTATGAACCGGCGGCAGAAGACAAACGAATAAAATTTCGATCGAGTGCAGATAAGTTCTCGATTATAGCTACTCGAAAATTTTAGGTTCTTCGTAGCCTTAAGATAATATATTATTAATATTACAACCTTTATTATTTCTATTACTATTCAATTTATAAATATCTATATAAACACGTGGTTCAAAGAAGACTGGAAGACTTTCCAGTCTTATTATACATATTTTATATATATATATATTTATAAATCTAATGTTATCTAATATGAGAATACCATTATTCATATTTCAAATTTCGATTGCTTCTGTTTTCATTACGAGGGGCTGCGGTACTTCTATATGTTTCAGCTTGTCATACAGTTTAAGACTAGATATATTTATGTAGTATAGTAGTTTTTTCAGATAAATTCTAAAAAAATATGTAGATTTTTCTCGAGGTTCGATTAGTGAGCTATTCCACTCAATTTTAATTTTTAAATCTTCAGCTTGCTCCTTGTTCGGGCAACTTAATTGAAGTTGCTCATCTTAACTTCTCCACCCATAAATAGCTTCCGATTCAGCCAACATATTATATCTTATATTATTATATTATCTTACATAAATTGTAGTTAGCACCTTAACCCCGATTGAATCGCATGATAT